TTTCTGCAGATATAGATTTGATGACTATATCGTCAATATACACCTGCATAAAGGTTTCAATGAAATCATGGAAAATCGAATTCATTGCCCTTTGATAAGTTTCCCCAGCATTCTTTAAACCAAAAGGCATCACCACCCATTCGTAGGTGCCTAAGGCTCCTGGGCAACGAAATGTTGTCTTGGCAACATCTTCTTCAGCGATAAAAATCTGATTGTACCCAGAGTATCCATCTAACATTCTTAGATATTCGAATCCCGCAGCAGAGTCTACTAACATTTCTGCCACAGGCATGGAGTACTCATCTTTAGGGGTTGTAGTATTTAAGTCCCTAAAATCTATGCAAATTCTCAGAGATCCATTTTTCTTAATAACAGGCACTATATTTACTAACCATTCGACATACCTTGTGGTTCTGATGAATCTGCAGCGTAGCAACCTTTCGATCTCAGCTTTGATCTTTGTGAGAACCGCTGGTGCGAATCTTCTAGGAGTTTGCTTGATGGGCTTCTTGCCATCCTTGATTGGAAGTATGTGTTCCACTAACTCCCTCTTTAAACCAGGCATTTCGTCATAGTCCCATGCGAAGCAATCTTTGTTTCTCTTGAGGACTTCGATCACTTCCTGCTTGAGGCATGGATTAAGTTTTGCGCTTATGTAGGTTATTCTTTTCGTGTTCTCATCCCCCAGATTCACTTCTTCGAGCGGATCCCGCGCCAACATTTTGGCACCTGAGTCTATGGGGTCCCTCTCGAAGCCTAAGGGTTCTTTATCATAGATGGCGTCCATCCTCTGATCTATTTCGTGTTCTTCAAAGGGTGAGCCTTTCGAGCCATCCCCATTTATTTCGTTCACTTCTACAGCCAATTTATTTATTTCAGCCTCTAAGGCCGCTTTCGATTCGTTCTCAGCCATATAGGCCGAAATCCTTTCGAAGAAGGAGGACTCAATCATGAGAAAGGTTGTCGAATTCCCAGCCTGCTGGCCGTCTTTGCATAGTACCTTCGCCTCCTTCATCTTCACTGACTATTCTTCTATCCCAATATATGCCATCATGGCGAAGGGTCATATAATAGTGTGCGTTCCTGGTTTCGTTGATTTCATCATTAGGGACACAAGGAGCAATCTTGGCCAAATGTTTGTCATAATTCCTCTTGTCAACTAAGTTGACTGCTGTCATGAAGTAACTCTGGTCCGCTTCAATGTTCTCCACGATCCCATCTTCTCTCCATAAAACCAACCTCTGGTGCATTGACAAAGGAACTGCTCCTACGCCATGGATCCACTCTCTTCCCAACAAGTTATAGTTGGCCTTGGCTTCGATCACCATGAACATGGTGGGCCTACAGCTTGATCCTATCGTCAAGTCCAGTTGAACTACTCCCAATGTTTGGCCTACTTTCCCTTCATAATTGGATAGAACCATGTTGTGTGGTTTGATGTCACCCTCACGTATTTCTAACTTTTTCAGCATGAAATGGGGTATTAAGTTAACTACAGCGCCCCCATCCACTAAAACCTTATTTACACCATGGGCACCAACCTTTGCCCGAATGAATAATGGCTTCAGATGATTTTTCATAGCTGGCTCTGGGCGCTCGAAGAAAGCATTTTGCTCCTCGACGGCTCCGTTATCCATCACGTAGTAACACACAGGCCTATGCTTCATCAGATCTATTGTATCATCCTCCTCAAACTCTTCGATTTCAGTTTCCTGTCCAAACTCACAAGGTAGTACAGATACCACGTTGCAATTGATATTGAGCGAATACTCCCCCTCTGATTCGAAGTTATCCGTTAGCATATCCCCGTCTTCTTCTGGACCTGGTGTGTATTCCTTCGATTCAGTTGGTTGTGCTTCAGAGAAGAGTCTCCTACTAACTGGGGGTTTGTCCTCAGTTTGATTATTTTGCGTGGGTTTGTTGGTGCTTGATTCACCTTGGTTTTTTATCGAAGTTGCTCCTTTATTTGCCATAGCTTCCCTTTCAGCCTTTCGATTTCTATGTTGCCTTCGCCATTGAGATCTTGACATGGGGTTTCTTCCTTTGTAGTTCTCTAACCTCACTTCTTCCCTCTTCGCTATGTTGAACTGCCTTCTATATGTCATAGCGTGGCGCGCGTTTCGTTCATTGTTTCTCCATTTGTCTTTGCCCTTGTCAGTTCTGACTTGCAGCCACTTGTCTGTTGGTATTTCAGCAGGAATTTTGAACGTCACCCTTCGAGTGCCTTTGGGATGAGGACTATCAGGCCTTCGTTGAGTGTATTTGCTATCGAAACGTTGGCCCATCTGACCCGTCTCTTGGTGGTTCCAGCATGGGGCGAAAGGGATTGTTTCGAAGGCTCTGGCCATACTTTGATCATACACAACAGAACACCTTGGGCATACTAGGCATTTTGTTGCTCCTTTGTAACAGTGAACCAAAAACTCCAACAAACTTTCTCCAGCTTTGGGATAACACCTGAATAACTGGTTATCCTGGCGCCAGTTGATGCCAGTTCGTGCCCTTTGTATCCTCTCGAAATTTGCAGCAATTCTCTGGTTGCAGATGATGCTGCACCTAGGGCATAGTATCATTTCCGCATCTCCTTTGTGGCACAACATGAGGTAATCTTTAAGACTGGCATCCCCAGCATAATTATCCTCCATTTTGTATTTTTCCTTTTTTAAGTATCTCTCCATCTCCTCCATTTCAGAACGAGGCCTCTCCATATCCACCATGTTTACATCTATATCCTCCCCCTTTATGTCATCATCTCCCCATCCTGTATGTTTTATATCTTCAATTTGGATTTTTCAACTCTCTGGGGCAGAATACTTCACCAAGTAGTCAAACTTTCCACTGGGCTCTCCTAAAGTATCCCATATTTCTTTCTGAGGGGAGGGTGGCTTCGTGATCTGGACTTTCTCCAATTTTAGCCTCAGGCCTTCAGTAACCTGTGTCATCTCTTGCTTTTGGTTCTCCTGGCCTTCAGTAGCCTAGATTTCTTTTGCAACAGCTAAAGGTGCTGCTTCGATCGAAGCCTCTGGTTGCTTGTGGACGTCCTCAGTGACCCCCTTATTGACTTCAACTAACACCCAATTTTCATTCTCAGTGCCTTTCTCTCCTAATGGAGTGTCATCTTGATCTGCTTCCACCATATTGATTTCTCCAATGCACGCAGGCTCGGAGTAATTGGTGTCTGCGACATCCAAAGGATCTTCATCTACTTTCATTTTTGGTTTGTCAGCAAATTTCAGTCTGCCATCCTTAATTGCATTTTGAATTAGATCCCTGAAAAGAAAACACTGTGAGGTTTTGTGGCCTAGGAAACTATGATACTTGCAAAATCCTCTTTTCTTTCTTTGATCTAAAGGAGGTATTTTGACGTTCGATGGCACAATGAGTTGGCCATCTTTGACAAGCAAATCAAAAATATCGTCACACTTTGTTATGTCAAAAGTGTAAACCTTCTTTGGGAATTTGTCACTTTTCTCATTTTCAACAATTTCTTTCCCTTTTGTGGGAACTAATAACTTACAAGAGTAAGGTGGAGCCTGTTTCAATTCAGCGAGATCAATTTCGACCTCTTCGAATTCAGGGTAATCTTCTGCTTCCTCAGCTCCAACATAGGAGACCCTTTCTTTCTTGTTATTTTTAAAAACTCTGGCCTTTTCGGCGTTTAGCCTTTCGACTTGTCGAACCCTATCGGATAAATGAGCCATGTCCCTCAAGTATTGTGTATCTAATTTCTTTCGAATAGAGTAATCCAGGCCGCCAGCATCCATTTCGACTAACTCATGTTCAGGAACTACTGTAAAGCATCTAGATTTCAAGAGTCTGAACCTATTCAGATAATCATCTATGGGTTCAGTAAACTTCCTCTTGACACTGGCTAGTTCCTTCAGACTTATTTTAGATTGTCCCATGTAGAACTGTTCATGGAATAATCTCTCCAACAGAGCCCAAGTATCTATGGACCCAGGAGGCAAAGTGGTGAACCATGTGAAAGCGTTCTTAGTTAGGGAACTTGGGAAATATTTGATCCTAAGGTCTTCATTATTTGCTATATCTCCCGCTTCGGTTAGATACCTGGCTATGTGTTCGACTGTTGATTCATTGGTATCTCCAGCAAACTTTGTAAACTTAGGGACTTTATATCCCCTTGGTAAATCAGTATGCATTATGTAATCTAATATAGGAGAGGCATAATTTGGCCTTCTAATTCCTGTATTGAGGCCATTTTGGGCCATGATTCTCTCTATCATGGTGGTTAAATTATTCTCTGCCAAGATGTTATCGTTTCGAATTCTGTGAACGACTGCATCAGCATCTTGATTTCGACCCACCAGGACAACTCCTCTAGGTTGTTCTTCTCGAAACTCTGGGACTTCTAACCTTTGTGCCCTTGCCCCCAAATTAACCCCCTCTCTGGATGGTCTATAGGGTGGGTCATTAGCAACTTGTTCTATGATAGGTACGTTCGCTCGAACTCCCGCCTGATTCTGCCTACGCCTTTCTGGGGGAGCGAAAAAAATCTGCTATTTGACTCATGTTATCCGCGTTTTCTCTGTTTGTCACAATTACATTTTGTACTATTGGGGCAAAGATCTCTTGCATAGTTTGCGCTAATACTCCTATCATATTATGGTTACTATCATCCATTAATTGCCTAAAGGCCAACTGATTTTCTGTGGTTAAGATAGGCATTGCACTATAACCTACTGACCCTTGGTTATTTGTCATAAATTGATTAGTCCCAGATCCAGACCCTAATTGTGGTGACGTATTCGATGTCGAAGTGTGCAGACCCGCCATAAAAGATGTTGGCATCCCATAAGAGGAATTTATGTGTCTGTTACCATCAAAACTAGGTGGTCTAGTTAGTGGGGTGGCGAAATGGGTTTGTGTCCCTGATGGTGGAACGAATCCCCCAGGATAACCAATGGTTCCTGTATTGCCTAGGATCGAACTGTTAGTCGACATGCCACTTGTTCCATTCGTGGCTACACTACTGGTAGAAGATGCAACAGACTGTGCGTTCGAAGGGATCGCATTAGATGTTCCCGTCGAAGCGAACATATTAGTGTCCGTTGCATGTGGGATATTTTATTCCCCTTGTTGATTGTTTGGATTAGACATCTTGCTATTACGTTTTCTTCTGGGTAAAGGTTGATTGCTATTGGTTATTCTACCACTTCTAAGGTTCATATAACAACGAACTTATCACTCAGAAAGTACTTTTACAATGGTTATGTCTCAACAATCTTTACTTTGTTCTAAATTTCGTAACGACCAATGACGGTCCCACTGGGCGTGCCAATTTGTTTACAGTGATTTCTGGTAAACAACCGCTAGTCCTCCAAACTATCAAATAATCTTAATGACTGTTATTTAATCTCTCTGGTAACTTGCAGGATCGACTAGATTGATCCTATGGGGTATTGGTCGTTTGGATAGTTCTAATTGTAAAACTGATATTCATAGTTGGGATTTGTGTTTGTAATGTTTTATAGACGTTCAACTTACTTCGATTACCATATTAAAAGGATCTACTGACATGATCAAGTAAAGACGTGCGAAACTAAGTTGCATGAATAAAGATTCGATTGCAAAGAAATATAAAACTGCAAGAAACAAGTAAATAACTTTGAAGTCTAAAAGCATGAAATGTAACAGAATTTCTGAAATGTAAAGGATTCGAAATGGAAAGAAAACGTTTAAATGCAAGAAATCAGTAAATGATTTTGAATGAAAATACTTTAATGTAAAGGCTTTTGAATGATATTGACATGAAGATAGAAGATAAACTGGAAATGATAAAGAGTTTTACTGAATCATAAATATTTGGTGTTATCATACGTACATTGTTCGAGCATTCGTTTCCCTAGCCATGTGGTATTTTGAATGTTTACTGAATTTTGTACAATAGGTATGACACACGAAATCCTAGTACTAAGACTTCTATTTATACTACTTCGACCATAACGGTCTTGCCTATAAGATCCTGCCACGTTCAGAACATGCAGAGCACTGCTCCTTTCTAGCTTCCACGCGTCTTCGAACGCTCCAGCGCATATATTTTAAATTTCGAACATCCCGCTTGCGTTTGAATTTCAAATGTTCTGGCACTCTTCGCTTCGAACTCATTTCTTAATCATAGTCTCATTACCACTTCGAGGCTTCTTTTAAATATATCTTCACAACTGTCACTCGAAGCTCCGAGCTTTGACATGTTCGTTCGAAGAACTGCTTCTACTATTCCGAACCATGACATCTTGCTTTATTCCAACGAAACATCCAATTTGCTTTGTTTCGAACTGTGTCATCAAAATCTTCAGCCAACAGATACGTGGAGTGGTTTTTCTTTTCAAGCTTTTCAGAATCTTAGGGGTTTTGTTCGTCTCTCACTTGCTTCAGCTGTTGTGTTGTGGTTTGTTAATGTCTAACTATCTGATATCAACTAGTTAAAACCCGTGCATCTATATTATATATTGATCATTGATGTTTTGGTTCGTGTTGTTATGCAGTCTTGAAGTCTGGTATTTTATGGCATTGATTTTATTTGCTGGATATTTGGAGAATGCAGAGGTTTCGGTTGATGCTACGTCTATATGGTAGGTATATCATTCATCAATCATACTGTAGTGGTATGACCCTTCTTAATAAATTGTAACACCCTCAATAAATAAAGTTATGGGGTGACATCCACTCACATTTTCACATTTATGGAGCAGACCGAGCAAAAAGTAATTAATCAATCAATCCTACTCACTCTGTCATTGTAGAAATTACTAGCACAATTGATTAAAGCCACCTTTAGATTATTTATAACCAAAAATATTCTAAAATATATTGCATTTAATATGTATATTCTAAATATATCTTTGTATTAATTATTTAATATGGTTAGTAAATGATAATTTAATTAAAAATATATTAATAATTGTGTTATTTCTATTATATGGAATACAAAATTAATTACATTTAATTTTTCTTCTTAATAAACGTGACAATTATTTTTTATTTTATAAATTGAGCCGGAGTAGTATAGTAGTATTGTACTACTCCCTTCGACTAAGTAAAAATAAATAAAATTATATTAATAAAATAAAATAATTTAAATGCAAACTTTTTTTGTGTATTTTTAAAATAAGTTTTATAAGAAAATATAAAAATAAATTTAATTAGTTTTGGAAAAAATGAAATAGACGAAATTGTATTTATATATTTTTGAAATATAATATTTAAATGAAATATTTAGGCTTATAATTTGATTAAAAAATAAGTATTTTTACTTATAAATTGGCATACAGGGAATAATAACATTTCATTTTTATTATAAATTTTTTGTAGTATATTTAATGTGTTTATATGATTTAATAATTAATGTTTTAAGTAATTTATAAATATTAATTAGAAATTTATTTATTAAAGAATCAATAAGGTAATCTAAAAAATTTAAATAACTTATACATACAATTTTTTGAATTGAGTTTATCTCGAGTAAAATGAAAGTAAAGACAAGTGAGACAGAGTAATAAATATAACACAGACAGAATTAAATAATGACAGTATTTTGTCTATAAATTTTAATATAGTTATAATTGAATAAGAAAATAAAATGTTATATTAATATTCAAATATAATAATTTATTTAGACAAAAGATGATAATTGTAACACTTTTATAAAAAACATTCAGAATAAAGTTTCTAATCTTATCTATGTGATTTAATAATCAAATGTTTTCAACAATTTTCTCATCAACATATAATTTAAAATACTTTTATTTATTAAATTATAATTAATTTAATTAATTATATTTTTAAAAAATTTCTATAAATCTTATTTTTAAAATCAATTTTAAATAATTATATTTTATGAAAATTATGTACCCTTTATTTTTAATGAGATTCTTAACACATCTTTAGAGGTTCTTAGGACTTTAGCGAAATTTATGTAATCCCTTTTATTTCTGATATGTATATTCAAATTAATCACATTTCAGTTTTTTATCGAATATGTTCGGATATTATATCTGAACTCACTATATTTCAGTTTTTTTTTTTAAAAGAATGTTATTTCAGATAAACATATATGAATTATGCAAAACCAATAATAGATTATGTTTTAATCGAATAAGTACCATAGAAACATGGGAAAAAAAATTAATAAAAGTAAACAACGGTAAAATGTTGAATATGTTGGGGGAGTTCATATTGAAAACATTGATATATAGTGTAGGAAACACACCTTGTGAAAGACACACCACTTATCCATCTATCCACATAAAACCTTAAGGTGATATGTGAGTGAGTTCTACTACTTATATATTATTAAGTCTCCACATTCCTATCCAATATGAGACTATTTTCCCCACTTACTCATACTTGTTATATTATTCCAATAGAATAAATATATTATATATGTATTGAATTATATAGAATTTACATTGTGCATGACAATACATTTAAGAAATAGTCCAATTACATTCTAAAATATACCGAACAAATTGTCACAGCTTAAAATACACCGATTTAACCGTACCATAATCCATTACCTTTGCAGTAGAAATTATTTGTACTTGAAATATTCCATCTAGAAATGATCAAATATCATAAACTAGTCTTATAATTAACTTTTGAAATACAAAGCCACCATCCTAACTGTGAAACAAAACTAGATAGAAGGTATGAAAACTCTAACAACTCATATTAGGAAAAAAATGTCATGTTTGGTGGACTTAAACATGGTTAATTCCCAATTAATATTGTCACATTTAATATCTTCATTCAAAAAATATATAATTTTTTATAAGTCTCCACCATCATTGATAATCCTGTTCAAAAATATTTTAGATATTTAACATATAAATTTTATTTATTGAAATTTTAACATTAATTCGTTAAGATAAGAGTTCAATGTTGATTTTGCAGCTCAAACATATTGGGATGGACTATCATGACATCCTATGGAATGAACGCGGCCGTAAGATTTGTTTCATTTTATATTCATAATGGAACTAACTATGAGTTTGATTAAACATAAATTTGAATTGTAATTACAACAATGCAGTGTGAGAGTGTCAAATGAATTGGGAGCATCTCATCCAAGAGCAGCAAAATTCTCACTTACAGTTGCTGTGATTTCTTCATTTCTCATTGCTCTTATTCTCTCATTGATTTTGATAATCTTCCGGGAACGGTATCCGATATTGTTTTCAAATGATCCAGAAGTGAGAAAGGCAGTGATTGAGCTAACACCAATGTTGGCATTGTGCATTGTCATCAACAACATTCAACCCGTTTTTTCAGGAGTTGCCATTGGTGCTGGGTGGCAAGTTTCGGTTGCTTATGTGAATATTGCTTGTTACTATATCTTTGGTATTCCTTTGGGACTCTTTTTTGGATTCTTTCTTGACTTTGGTGTCTTGGTAAGCTTTTTCAAATTATATTTTACCTTATTATTTGGTTTTCATCACTATCTATAATACCTGCACCTGTGGAAAAAATGTGCCAGTGACAGACATTTATAATTATGTTTAATTTATTTGGTTTTCTTGTATGGTGGATGCATGATTTCCAGGGGATCTGGTCTGGAATGTTATCAGGGACAGTTCTACAAACTCTTGTCTTATTCTACATGGTCTATAGAACTCATTGGAATAACGAGGTAAAAAGTTATACATATTGCCAACAAAACAAAACTAAAACCAGTTTAATTATATTGTTATCTATAAAAGACATACACCAGACACGAAACCTACGGTGACATGTCAATACTCTAAACATTTTTTATAAAATGGCAGGCATCACTTGCGGAAGAAAGGATAAGCAAGTGGGGTGGCCTAAAAGATTTGAAGATGAGTGATAATGGAGAGAATCATCAAGCAAATTGAAGCTTCTGCAAATTCTTGAAGCTGATAGAGAGAATCATCAAACTGTTGGCTCCTAAATTCGACACCCTTGTTTTTATTAATATCAGCCATTAAAGCTGAAGGATGTTTTCGACCAGCTGGGTCTGTCGAAATGCCCATCGGAAGATGGCAATGTACTTAAAGGATTTCTTCCAAGGGAGAATTTGGTTGCCTTCGACGTCGAAGGTGTTTCTCGTCGAAGATGCTTCTCGACGAAGGTGTTCGATTGTTCAGAGTGGAACGGTTTGAAATTCAAGCGTTTGGAGGGAAAACGGTTCCCAGCGGTTACCAAGTGCAACGTGCAAAGATCTGGAGCGTCGAACGCTGAGAACGTGCCAAGTGGAGTCATCTCGAAGCAGTGTAACTGCCCGACGGTTACTTGGGATGTTTTAGTATAAATAGTAGTAGTTCACGCAGTTTTTTGCGTGTGTTCACAATTATATACAAAGTCACTCATATAGATTCGAGTACCCAGCGTGTGAGAAAGAATTGTTGAGAATGTATGTGTGAAACACCACTTTTATTAATCAAAGTCATTTATTTTCCAGAAACTTTACTTGCTTTCTTCCTTACTTTTCCTGTCGAAGCCTTTTATTTCAAGCCTTACTTTATTTTATCAAGCCCACTTCTTCATGCAATTTACTTAAAGCCTCTTTATTTTCTTGTCATTTAACCATTATCCAACTTAATCAAAACCCCAAAATCAACCATGTCTTAGGATCAATCTGATCGATCCTGCGAGTAACCAAATAAGTAACCATTTGGAAGATCAGCGGTTGTTTACCAATAACCACAGTAAAGAAATTGGCACACCCGGTGGGACTGTGTGTTGATTTTTGAAGTTTAACCTTTTTAAACATAATCTCATCTTTTTCGAGGAGTGTTGTATGTTATTGAGAAGTGGTAGAATATACACTAACGATACCAATACTGCCAGAAGAAGAGAAGAGATGGCGAATCCGCCAAACAATAACGAAATCCCACAAACGAATGTGGGAGCAACGGTTATCCCGACCGTAAGTGAAACGATAACCGCTGGTTCAACACCAGCAGTAACAGTCACAACAACGGGGCCATTACCTCCGTTCACAGGCCCCAGAGTGCCTTTGGGAACTCCCCCACCAAGGGGAAATTTAGGCACAAGGCCTTATGTTCCCCCAGGATTTATGACAGACGGTCATAATCGAGAACCACTCTATGGCATACCAACTTCTGACTTGGCTAGCCTGACGAACGCTGCGTCCACTTTTTCAGACCCTTTAGTGAGTGCCTCTTCGCCACTCCAAGGTTCTGGAGTAGGTATGGCGAATAGAAATAGGACCCAACTCTTAGGAGGAACGTCCCAAGTAGCACATGGCCTTACAAATGCCTCGACAACAGTCTTGAGGCAACAAATGGACGAAAGCAACCATGATATGGTTCAAATGTTGGCACAAACTTTAAGTACAGTGCTGAACCCTCTAATACAAAACACTACCCAATCGAATCAGCAGATGACAGCGCAAATGACGCGTTTGGCTGATTTCTTTGGAGTACCCCAACCTATTCGACAGCCCCATAGGGCGCAAATAAGGGGAAACCAGGGTGTATTCTTAGAGGAAGAAACCACTATCAACTAAGTCCAACAGCCTGTCGAAGAAAACCTTAGTGCACGATTGGAGCAACCTGTCGAAGAACCTAGGGTAATAACCCCAGAGGTAAGGTTAATTAACAGAAACCAAAATGCTGACGAAGTAGTTCAGCATATCCAATATCAAAACATGGGTTTGGAAAATAATTTGGCAACCATGATCGAAAGGATCATGACTCAAAATGGGATGAACATGGGCTTTCGAAGGCCCAACTTTACATCCCCGCTGTCAGAATACGTGTTACAAACAGACTTACCTCCTAGATGTAAAGTCCCTAAATTCACTAAGTTCTCTGGGGACACGACAGAATCTACTGTCGAACATGTGGCGAGATACTTGATCGAAGCAGGAGATATTTCAAACAACGAAAACCTGAGGATTAAGTACTTCCCAAGTTCTTTAACAAAGAACGCTTTTACTTGGTTTACAACTCTTCCCCCCAATTCGATCCATCATTGGACCCAGTTGGAAAGATTGTTCCATGAGCAATTCTACATGGGGCAAACCAAGATAAGCCTGAAAGAATTGGCCAGTGTAAAGAGACGTTTCACTGAACCTATAGACGAATATCTAAATAGGTTTAGGTTGCTCAAAGCAAGATGTTTTACACAAGTGCCAGAATATGAGTTAGTCGAAATAGCCGCAGGCGGTTTAGATTATTCCATTAGGAAGAAGTTAGACACTCAATACCTGAGAGACATGGCCCAACTGGCCGATAGAGTTTGACAGGTAGAACGCCTCAAAGCTGAAAAAGCAAAGGCAACGAAAACTCATAAGAGAGAGAGGATAGCATATGTTGAGATGGATGACGAAGATCCAGAATCCTTCGACGAAACTATAATTGTCGAAGAAGGAGAAGTCGATTTAGCGGAGCTAAAACAAGGGCCACCATACTCTTGCAAACTGTTAGTCCCCTCAAGTGGGAAAAATCCCACTGGTCCAGAAAGGACCAACGATAAGTTCCCCAAAAAGACTTATAGTTTTGATATTACAAAATGTGATGAGATCTTTGACTTGCTTGTAAAAGATGGCCAAATGATAGTACCCCCAGGGGTAAAAGTGCCTCCTCTTGATCAAAGAAAGAAGAGAGGCTTTTGTAAATATCATAATTTTCTGGGCCATAAAACGTCTCAATGTTTTCTTTTCAGGAATCTTATGCAAGACGCTATCGAAGAAGGGAGGTTGAAGTTTGCTGACAAGACCCCCATGGCTGTGGACTCTAATCCGTTGCAGGCTGAAGCCCACTATGCTGAACCTTCAGAGGTGAACGTGATCGAGGCATCCAGAAGCCAGTCGAAGAGGCCAGGAATCACAATGGTCGAAGTCTCAAAGGACCATGTCAACATGCCAATCTTTGGCAGTTTTTCTGGGAATTTATCCAGAAAGACAATTGAAGCGGTTCAGAAAGTGGTCGAAAGCCCAAAGCTGGAGACAGTTGGAGCCCAAAAATCTGGAACAAAACCCAGTTCTCACTTGGCCGCAGTTCAAGGCCAGACAGAGGACTTGGAGATTCAAATGAAGCAGTTGACTCTTGCCAACAAAGATACCATGAATGTCAACATGGTCGAAGTCTCTGAACCAAAAGCATCAGAGGAGGCCATGAGGCAAGAACAAGCTAACAAGACTGCTTTCCCTCGGGAAAATGAAAATCTGGCAGATTTCCTGCAAAGATGCCAGAAAAAGAAGTCAGAAGTGATGCTGTGTCCAAGATGCAGTTCGATCTTTGACAAAAAAGCTGCTGAACATATTCAAGGCGTAAGAGCAGCAAATAAGAGAAGGGAAAATGTTGATCTTCGACATGATCCCAGAAGAGCCTCCCAAAGAGGTTCAAACCAAGAAAAGAGGCCATTGACTTTCAGGCCTCCAACTAATGTGCCAGTAGATACATGGTACAAAACATCTGGTCGAAAGAGGCCAAACGAGGAAAGATGGCACTCTTTCGATGTGCCAAGAGGTTCATCTTTAACACAAAAGAAAGAGCCTCAGGTTGCTGCCCCTAAAGTTACACAGGTGTCAAGCAACTACAAAGGGAAAAATCCCATGTCTCGATCTCAATGGAGGAGATACTAGAGGCGACGAAAAGCTGAGAGGGAGGCTGCTAATGAACCAAAGGCAGAAACCAGTTCAAATGTTCCTCTAAGGAAGCAAAGGAAACCTCTAGAAAGAGAGCCAGTAACCAACAGGCTAGTTTGGCCTAACCAAGGTGAAGTTGATGACGAAGATGGTTCTGAGTCTGATGACACTTTGGACATCATGGTGAATATAGTCTCAGTGCTGCCCAGAGAGTTCAACCGACAGGTGGAGGTCGAAACAAGTGATTGGGAAGTGGAGCAAGAAATGGCCAAACATAGGCCAGTGTGCTATTTCGTCATGGATAATGGCACTACTGAGGAGCAAAATGGGTTCTTCGAACCACCTACAGAGGCGATGAAAAATCACCTCAAGCCTTTATTTATAATGGCTAAACTCGAAGAAACCACAATGAATAAAATCTTGGTGGATTGTGGGGCAACCATCAACATTATTCCTCACTTTATGCTAAGGAAAATAGGCAAAAGTGATGAGGACATCAAGCCTCACAACATGGTCCTGTCGAACTATGAAGGCGGCATAGGGACCACTATGGGAGTGATCCAACTGGATATCGAGGTGGGATCTATCCTTCGACCAACGATGTTTATGGTCATATCGGCCAAACCTAACTATAATCTTTTGTTGGGCTGTGAGTGGATTCATGGTGTTGGAGTTGTACCATCATCAATGCACCAGAGGTTGCTGCTATGGCGTCCTGATGGGATGGTTGAAAACATAGAAGCGGATCAAAGCTATTACCTGGGCGAAGTGAATCACCTAGGGCTGGCAGACTTCGACATGAACTTGGCTCACATAGGGCCATGTCCAACACCTGACTTCGACTTGGCGCCAGCGCCAAATACTTTTTGTTCCCTATACCTGCACCCTGAGCATGGTTTTCAATGGGACAGAGAAAACTTGTCCCACATAGACTTCAGTGGGTTAACTGACATCCAACCAACTGGTTGGGGAAGTGAATTCAGTGATAATGACTGAGTCACAATCATTGAAGCGAATTTCGGCTTACGTAGCCGAAACAAAGATGATAATGGCTCTCGAAGCCGAAGTAAAGTACATGGCCACACAGGCCAATGATCAACAGTTATCTGCTGCAGGTCCTGGAAAGGATTTCGATCCAGAACCTCCTGATATCATGCCAGAAGGAATGCAGGAACAGAGGCTCGACGCCATCTATGACGATGAGCCTTTGGGCTTCGAAAAGGACCCCTTGGCGAACAACATCAAAATGTTAGCGCAAGATCCTTTAGAAGAAATCAA